CAATTCTAAAGTAAATGCCCTACAAATTATATCAATCGATGAAGCCGAATATCTCTCATTTACATGTCTTTGGATGCAAGTGTTTTGCCCGTAATAGCAAGTTTTTAGAGTATTTAATAAAATAACCCAGATGATAGAAGAATCAATTCATGTTACCTTTGGTGAGTCTAACCCCTCTTCTATAGAGGTAGTTGTCATTGAATGTGTAGGTATTCTTGAGAAAACATTTGTGGAAGATGATGATCTAAATAAAGATAAAGGTCGAGCGAGGTAAAGAAGAAGGTCAAAATCTAAATGAAGAGACTCAAGTTGGAGAAGTAAACTCAGAGAATCAAAGTGTATCCAAAGAATAAAGGACCACTAAGGATCATATAAATCAGAATGTTATCAGAGATATTTCTTAGGAAGTTACAACTCGATACTCCCATATCAAGGTATGTAATTATATGACCTTTATTTCCTAAATAGATCCGAAGGAAAATGATGAGGCCATCATTGATGAAAATTGGTATCTAACTATGAAATAAGATTTAAATCAATTTGGAAGAAGAAATATTTGGGAACTCATTCCCTAAGCTACAACTGATCAAGTGATTGAGACCTGCTAGGTCGTTTAAAACAAGCTTAATGAAGATGTAAAAGTTTTTAGAAATAAAGAAAGACTTGTTATGAAATGATACAATCAACATGAGGGTATATATTTCAATGTAACCTACTCTCTTGTAGCTTGGTTAGAGGCCATAAGGATACTTATAGCTTATTCTTACATCATGAGTTTTAAAATCTTTCAAATGGATGTAAAGAGTGTGTTCTTGAATGATTGCATCAAAGAAAAAGTGCTTGTTGATCAACCTCCAGGTTTTATCAACCCAACATTCCCCGATCATGTATTCAAGCTTATAAAGGCTTTATACAGTTTGAAAAAGGCTCCTAGAGCATGGTATGATTGTCTAAGCAAGTTTTACTTGAGAAAATGTTTTAGAGAGAACAAATTTATAAAAACACTTTTTATCAAAAAGTCAAATATTATATGCAATGTTACTAACAAATCCTTCTGAAATTAATTTTCTAATATAATTTAGAACAACTTTTAGATGTCCATGATGAGGGAACTTCATTACTTCCTAGGACTATAAATCAATCAAACAAAATAAGGGACATTCATAAATCATGCCATGTATTTCAAGGAACTTCTAAATAAGTTCAATATGGATAAGTTAAAGGAAATTGGTACTTCAGTGGCTACATCATGCAAATTGGACAAATATGAAGGAGGAAAGCTAACAAGGCAAATTGGTTTGTAGTTTCTAAGATGTTGAGGATGCAAAACTTTAGGAATGAGCGCAAGAAAAGAAGTAGTAATCGCCTTGGACAATCTTACATTAGAATGAAAATCCTTAACAAACCTGCAAACGTCTTCCTTGACAATCTCCCAACAACTTTTCAGGAACCCAAAGCCAAAATCATCTGGCCCAGGACTTTTGTTACTATTGCAACTCCACACAGCGTCTCTAATTTCAGTGTCGAAAAAAGGTTCTTCTAACATCTGACTATCTTCAAAGGGTAACCTACTCCACTATTCCTTCATTTGTGTTGACAAACAAATAACGTTTTTCCTAAACTGGTCTTTCATAGAATTATGAAAGAAAGAAGTATTTAGATCACCTTCTTTAAGCCAATTCACTGAAATTCAATTAGTGTTTGCCTAAGAAAGAAGTATTTAGATAACGTTTGCCTAAGAAGATTTTCCTTCAAAATTAGATTTCTTCACATACTCTTGATAGATCCGGCCATGTTCTAACATATCTCAGCCTTCGCACCACCCCCAACAGAATCCAAATCTTTGTCAAAGTAATCCAAATCATTGACAACCTTGTCGACCTGCAAGTCTAGACACCCAAAAACTTCACAATTCCACCGTCTTAACCTACCCTTTAGGATAAAGAGTCTTCTAGCACATAATCCCCTCTTCCTGAAACTACCAAGAAGGACCAAACCTTGTTGATAAAGGAGTGGAAATCCTTATGGCTCAACAAGCAGTTGAAGAACTTGAACGACTTAGGGCCCCAATTTAGGTTACTAGCCTTAAGCAAAACTGGAAAATGATCGGAGATACCCTTTTTCCCCACGATCTGACTAACAATACTCGAATCATAGACAATAATATTCGAGAGCACAAACCTGTCCAGTCTAATCATCGATGAACTCGGAGAGTTGAACCAAGTAAACACACCTCCTAAGCTAGGCACATCAACCAAGTTCATATCCTCTATGAAGGCCTTAAACTCAGCCATCTCTGCCTCCCTTCTAACATCCCTCACATCTTTCCTTTCTTCTTTGCTAACAGCCGAGTTAAAATCTCCACCCACAATCCATCGCGCATCCACTAACTTCTTTTTCACCTCTAATAGAGAACTACATAGCCTTCTCTTCTAAGTTACAAGGAGAATACACATTCAAAAAGAAATAGTTGTGGCCTTTCCAATCTGCATTAACTCCAATATACCCCTCTCCCTTGAAACTAAAAAATAAGTTAAAAAGGCCCTTCTTCCACAAAATGGCCAACCCACCCACCGTACCAATAACTCCATTAGCAGACCACCCAACACCATTATTACCCTAAAGAGAAACAACTAATGAATCAGAGAAAATAAGAAATTTTGTTTCTTGGATAAAACAAAAACTAGCATAACCTTTCTGCACAATGTTACAAATTTTGCGCCTCTTCACCTTGTTATTGCCCCCTCTTATGTTGAAAGTGAGACAATTCACTAGACACCTGATTTAGTCTTCTCCCTCAAGCACTTGCCTTCTTTATCTCTGGCTTCCATATTTGGAATTTCTTCCTCATACACAACTTTATCATCCTCTCCTAAAATATATAACATTTGCATAATCTTCCAAACCTTCCTGTCAACTTCTGAATCCACCTCTGATCTGTGTCGAAGTTGCACCTTACCACATTCGAATCAGCCAACGAATTGCAACACAATAAAGAACCGCTTGAGAATTGAACTTCCGAAGACTTTGAAATCCTAATACTGAAGTTGACGAATGGATCCAAAGACTCCGAAAAGGAAGGAGCAGAATTCGGAGCTTGGCCTTTAGAAGAACTGGGATCACAAACATTGTGCTTATGGTTCTCGCGCCTTAAAATGGAAATGTAAGAAGGGCAAAGTTTCCCCACATTTTCATATTTCTGATTTTCTTAGCCCTAACATTTTTTACTCTTTCTAGACCCCTGATTCAAAAAAGAAAAATCCTTAATGCCATCATGGACCACCAACTGACAAGGATCAGGCCTTTTTATTGGGCTCTCCACTTAGGCTTTTATCATCAAGACAGGCCCAGAAACATGGTCCACGTTGACTTCCTCAACATCATCCACCTGAGCTAACACGTGTAACGTAGTCCCAGGATAATATGACTTTTCCTCCCCGTATGAAACCTCATAGTGATTAGATAAGACCTTGTTTTCCGAATCACGACAAGTCACATCATCGAACTCCACAGCCTTTTGCTTCATTTCTATTGGTCTAGGAATAATACACTCCCTATGATACTTTCTCTCTCTCTCTCTCTCTCTCTCTCTCTCTCTCTCTCTCTCTCTCTCTCTCTCTCTCTCTCTCTCTCTCTCTCTCTCTCTCTCTCTCTCTCTCTCTCTCTCTCTATCTATCTATCTATCTATCTATCTATCTATCTATCTATCTATCTATCTATCTATCTATCTATCTATCTATCTATATATATATATATATATATATATATATATATATATATATATATATATATATATATATATATATATATATATATATATATATATATATATATATATATATATATATATATATATATATATATATATATATATTAACATTGTGGTAGATTGGTAAGAAGTTATAATAAATATTTTTTTTATAAAAAGTAATGGTTTGTTTTATAAAATTAACATTTTTTAAAAACTTTTGTGAAATAGCCTCTTAAAGAGGAAAAACAATAAAAAGAAAAATATAGTAACATTTTTTCTTCCTACTACTGCATTAGAAGAATAGAAGATGTATGTTAGCAACTATGATAAATACTGTATACTTTTGCCCCATAGAAATAACACTTTTTAAGAACTCTTGCTTGCTTGTGTCAGGAAGTCAAAGAGAAAAGGTTAAAGAGATAATATTACTTGCTTTTTATTCTCTTTTTACCATTGTAGTAAAATATACATGCAAGAAATTATAATAATTATTATGTATTTTTTTGTTTTTCAATTTTTTTTAATACAAATAAGTAATTTTAACACCTTTTATAACACTTTAGAGAGAGGAAAAAGAAAAAAAGAAAATAGTAATATGTATTCTTTTACTTTGTTTAAAACTGCGGTAGAAGATACGTGTAAGAAATTATAATAATTTAATAAATATAATATTTTTGTTTTTTATTAAAAATATGTAATTTTATAAAAATAACACTCTTTAAAATCTTTTTTTTATTCTAATACTTTTAAAAAAATATTTTAACAGATAGTAATTTTTACGTAATTTATTTTCATTTTTTTAAAAACCGCGGTAAATGATACGTGTAGGAAATTAAAATAAGGTAATTCTTTGTGTTACACATTAAAAATCCTTATGAATTTGCTGACATACCTAGCAGACCAAGGTACATGGTACTCTGCATTTATCCCTTCTTAAGGAAATGGATAGTTGGATAAGGTAAGACTAAGTCTATATAAATATATATATATATATATATATATATATATATATATATATATATATATATATATATATATATATATATATATATATATATATATATATATATATATATATATATATATATATATATATATATATATATATATATATATATATATATATATATATATATATATATATATATATATATATATATATATATATATACATATATATACTTGTGTGTTAATTTTAGGTGTTTATAAAATTATTATAAGATAACGAAAGTTGTAGCTTTTAGATACAATGCATTCCTCTAATTCTGTGGAAGGTTTATCATCAAGTTTGAGAAAAGGTGCATGGAGTCAATATGAAGATGAACTTCTCAAAGATTGTGTTCAACGTTATGGAGAAGGAAAATGGCACTTAGTTGCTCAAAGAGCAGGTTCATAGTTTTATTTTTATGTAAACTAATATTTTGTAGAAATTATTTGATAATTAATTTAATGAATTCAAGAAAATATTGTTGTTGGATTTTGATATAGGATTGAAGAGATGTCGAAAGAGTTGTAGGTTGAGGTGGTTGAATTATTTAAAGCCAAACATTAAGAAGGGAGATTTTAGTGAAGATGAAGTTGATTTGATGATCAAATTGCATAATCTTTTGGGAAACAGGTTTGTTGTATTTTTTTATAAATTATAAATTATATTGTTAGTAATATTAATAATAATATTGCATGTGGCCAATTTGAATATCAAATAATTAAGGGGAGACCCTAGTTCCATATGGTTTGGTCAAGAAATTTGAAAGACATGATTTTTTTTAAAAATAAATTTTTCCATTTTATATATATATATATATATATATATATATATATATATATATATATATATATATATATATATATATATATATATATATATATATATATATATATATATATATATATATATATATATATATATATATATGTGTGTGTGTGTGTGTGTGATATATTACATCTTCATGAATTTGAATGAAAAAATAGTTTTTAAGATGTTTTGAAATTTTTTGAATCTCTAATTAAACTTGAAATGTATAAGATAATTATGAATGTCATCTCTAAATCTAAAATATGATGGATATTTTTGTTTTAACTTTTTTATAATAAAAAAATCATTGTTTTTAGGAAATTATTATATTTTTTTTATAAGCAATAATACATTCAATAAAGTACTATAGGAGTACTTCCGTCTATTTAAAAAACATTTTTGTATAAATCCTAAAATATGAGAGACAACCTACTAACTAATTAGACAAAAAACAATTAGATTTTTAAACCAATTATAGTATAACCATTTCCTTTTATTAAGGGACCAAACATCTAGCCAACACCAAAATACTAAGGCATTGAACAAAATTTGATTTTTAGTCCATCATATTATTCAACAAGACGAAATTCAAATACAAACGCAGAGGATTTGTCGCAACACCTAAAGAACACTAGAAATCAAGACAATAACGAGTCATAGACATTGGAGTGCACCTGCCAGTCAACTCCCACCTAACCAGCCACCCTTTCCCACAATCTTTGAATTTGCAGGCAAGAACAGAATAAGTGGTTGATTTATTTTTCTTCTATGCATTTTCTAAAATAGAAAGGACATTATCAATTTTGTATTTTTATCAATATTGAAAAACTTTAATTATATTAGTTCTTTGAAATGAGTTAATTAAATTTCTTAAGTTATTTCTCTTTTTTCAAAAAAAGTTGTAAAATGGTCATTAATATTATTTAAAAAATTTTCCAATTTTTTATAAATATTAATTTTGATCTTTTATTAATAACATTACTTTATGTTTATAGATGGTCCTTGATTGCTGGAAGACTACCTGGAAGAACACCAAATATTATAAAAAATTATTGGAACAAACACGTGCGAAGCGAAGAACGTTTTTCCAAGAAAGAAAACAACAAAACAAAGGAAGAGATAGAAAAAGTTACAAAATCTCATGAAGTGATTAAACCTCAACCACAAACTTTCGCAAAATCATTGCTAGAAGTGAATAAGTTCATTAGTTCAAATGATAATTCTTCCAAAGTTTCTATGAATGAAGGTGAAACTTCATCAAGAACAAATAATTGGTGGGAAAGTTTTTTATTAGATGAGAATGAAGATAATAATTACTTATTGCAAACGGGATTTTGGGATGATCAAGAGCTTAATTCAATAACAACAAATGCTTTTGACTTTTTTACTGAAGATCAAACTTGGAGTGATTTTCTTGCTCAATTTTGAGCATGCAAATTTCATTTGTATGTATTGTTTGTGTTATTCTTATTATTATGAAATTAATTTATATGTGTTTTATAATATAGAAATATAAGATTTAATATATATTTTTAATTTATCGTAAATTTTAATTCAATAAGATGTATATTCAATTTTGTTCCGGGCTGACCCAATGACTAGGCCTGGTCCAATCCACTTCTGCTCCCAGAAGGGTCCAATAGCCTAAGCCCTGCCAGTTAAGGACAAAGGGAAGAATTCTCTCCTCTGCCCCTCTGCTGAGGAAGGCTGGTCAGCTGACCCCTAGGATCAGCTGCCATTCGTCACATTTCTGCCTCACGTCCGTCGTACTCGACGGGATCCAGCTTGTTGTCTATCTAAAATGGTGTTTATCTATCTAAGCTACAGGCCACAGGGACAAAAGAAAAGAGAAGAGACTCGATAGAGCATCGCCGCTCTATGCCTACGTACTCCCTCGTGTAATGGGAAAGTCAGAGTCAGCGTAGTTCGGAAAACTACGGGTAAAGGTAGGGGAAGGTTGCTCGCCAAGACATTACCGTCTTGTGCCTATGTATCCTCGTCTGGTACGAGAAATTAGAGCAAACGTAGTTCGGGCTAACACGACCACAGGTTGGTTCAAGTGTTTTACCCGAGTAGGGTTAAACCTTAGTTCTAGCAGTTAGGTGTATGCTGCTCGACCATTGGAGACTTAGGCATTACCTATTTGCGGTAGAACCAAGAGTTAACAACACTTTCTTTGAAAATAGTTTTCAATTAATCCCGAAGGATAAAAAGGTTTGATGTTTGTTTTTAAGTCTTTTATGAAGAAGAAGTGAATTGAATTGTGGTTTTAATTCATGTTGCACTAAAGACTATGACTTAGGAGCGAATGCGTCGCATATTGCCCAAAGGGCATATGCTAAACACTCTAGACAATTGAGAGGAGGCCCCCCAATCATCACTTCCCAAATGCTTAAGGCTCGTAGCGTACAACTCTCATTATCCTTTATTACATGTCTTGAAGAAGTTTGAAGATGAGAAGAGAGAAGACACAACTAAGGGGAAACTAACTTAACCCTAATGTTATCATGCAATGTGCTCCTAAGATTGAGATTAAGAGGGAAAAAAGAATATCATAATGTTATCATGCTTGGATTGAACACTTAATGTTTCTCCTACTCTCAAAGGGACTAGGAATCCTAAGGGATCATGGCAAAGAACACCAAGTAAACATAAGATAAATCAATCACAAATGAGATGAAAGAAAGAGATGCAAACATGAAATGCAACACAAAGAAAAGGGGGGGAAAAAGTGTGGGGCAGCAACCACCACAAGCACATCTCAACCTCTTAAATGCAAACAAAAGATGCAAAAAAAAAAATGCAAGCAAAAGCACTCAAAGAAAACCAAGCAAAAGTGAGATGCAATGGGAGAAGTCACAACTCCTACAACCATTCAAGCATCAATCACTAAACCAAAAGGAAAACAAATAAGAAAGAGAAGAAGGCATGATCAAGATGAGGATGGGAGAATAGGCTTGGACACCAAGCAACATCAAATGAAATCTCAACCATAAGCATCACAATGATCATGCAAAATAAAAACAACAAAAGGTTATCAAAGTGGCATCTCATCCAAGTCAAACTCAAAGTGCAAACAAGGAGCACCAAATCAACTTGAATGATTTCCAAAGTCCCATGGACAGAAGTGAGAACAAGGGAAGAAGATGCACAAATGAAAGAAGAAGAGGAAACAAGACAAGTTGCAAGATAGGGCATGGGAAAGAACCTAAGTTCATACCACTTTCAACATTCAAATACAAATGGATAGCCCTAATTAGAAGTAACTTGCAACACAAACCCTCCAAATGTAGGACCTACAAATTTGCAACCAGAAACTTCAACATGTTGAGAATGTGAATCAAGAGGTGTTGGAAGCATATGGGATCCACAAGGGTCATTTCCCAAAAGAACTAGGTCAACTAGTTTGTATGAACCTCCATTAGAGCGACTTGACTTGCAAGGTTCACCAAAAATAGGAAAATGGTTCAATAAATGCTAAATAAAAGACACAAAGCTCACAAGTAAGTTGGCAAATAGACGCCAAAGCATCAAATCCAAAATTCAATCAAAGCATCACCAAAGGAATTGATCCACTAGAGTGCTCCACTTTGAAAGAGATTCATCGAGGCTCAAACAAAAGCAAATGAAAGTTAAACAAAAATAAGTCAAACCTTGACCAAAACCAGCCTCAAAGTCACCTCAACTCATCATCAAAATGAGGAGGAAGCCTCACTCATTGGTGGTTTCAATTGGCAACAAACAAAGCAAGATCAAATGGAAACAAACACAAAAACACTTCTAATTGTAAAATCCCAAATTAATTGCAAAATAAAAGAAAAATGGAATTAAAAATTAAAGAAAATTAAATAACACCCTAAGGTGTTGAAAAATAGTTTTTATGGGATTTTATGACATTTGGAAGTATTTTTAAAAATCAAAAAGCAAAACAGAAATAAAAAAAAGAAAATAAAACAATTAAAATTCAAAAAGGTGCAAATAGCAAGGAATCACGTTGGAAATCAATGGGCTGGTCAAAAGAGGGGTGTGTATAGCATAAAAAGCCCAAACCATCTCAGCTTGGATCAAAGCGCACCGTTTCACTAATTGACGTGGAAGTCATTCTCCACGCGTGCAAGGTCAAGGCAATCTGAGCCATCCAACACACACAGTCAAAGAGTCCAACATACACACGTCAGATCTGAGGTCAAAAGACCAGACGCCGGAGCCCTAGCTCCGGTCGTCTTCTCCGGTGGACTGGCCGGAGATCAGATCACTCAAACTCAACCAAACTTAGCAAACCGCATATCAAAATGAAGCTAAGCTTATGTACATCTCAAATCCAAGGTCCATTGGTTTTAAACATGGCTAAATTAGGTGAATCGAATAGATTAAATTTGAGATGCATATCTACAAACTTCATCAAACAGGAACAATGAACAATTAAACTTTGCCTACACGAGGTAGGGATTCAGATGCAGCCAATATGGACCTAGATCATGCTCTAGAATTAGAGAAAAGTGAAGGAGAAAGTTACCTAAAGGAGACACTCCGTTGGTGCTTCAACAACTTGCTTGCATGCTTGAAAATGTCCAGGTCCACTCCACTTAGCTCAAGGAAGAAGAATCTCACTTCAATTGGCTTTGAATTGCTCTGGAAACTGATTCACGATTTTGAATTTCTTTGGAGAATTTTCAAAATGGAAGTTGCTTCTTCTAGCTCCAAAATGCACTTCTGAGCTCTCAAAATGAAATGTGAACACATATATGTTGGATTTGCAATGGAATTGGAGGCCTATGAAGCCTTGTTTGGCTGAATTTGAAAAATGCCCAAAAATATGACTCCTTCATGCACACGTGAAAACTGATGCTTACACACATGAAAACCATTTGAATTGGCAGCTGGTAAGTGGAATTTTGCAATGGAATGGTAATGGGCTTTTGATTTGGTCCAATTTGAAAGTTTGAATGTGAAACTTCCTTGTGAAGTAAGTATCATTTCCACGTATTTTTGCTAGCATGGACCAAATGAATTTGTGCATTTTACTTGTCGAAGCATTGTGAATAAAATTGAATCAAAATCAACCATGAAAATGGCCTATAATTAATTCAATTGAAATCACCTTTTAACGTTCATTTTCACTTGAAAAATCTCACAAAATGTCCATAACCAAGCATAATTCACACCAAACTTGAGTTCTAGAGTGTAAATGAGGTCATTTGGAACAACTTTCATGTTGGTTGAAGTTTCATTTGAAGTACTTAAGTGCATGAAGATGACCCATAATCAAAATGGCCTATAATCAAAGTTTCCCAAAATACCCCTGACTTGCAAGATCCATAACTTGAGTTCCATAAATGATATCAAGGACCTATAGGACTTTTTGGAAAGATAAGATCATGAGGAACAACTTTCATTTTCACCAATAGTTGAGGAGAAACTTGATTCTAAGTCAAGAGTGCCTTGGAAGTGAGTTGACTTTTGCTGACTGAAAAATATGTTCATCTGAGACCTATAACTTGATGGCATCATAACTTGAGTTCCATAAACCCAATGGATGAGTTATAGTACTCAAAAGAAATCTTAGAACATGCCCTAAAAGTCTCATGTTTACATGAGAATGAGATTGAACTTGTATCTTGAGGTAAATGGTCCTTGAAGTTGGACACTAAAGAAGGGGATTTTACACTGAAACCCTCTGAAACCCTAATTTAGTAACTTCTTAGACTCTTTATTCTTCTTGATTTGAACTTGATATGGCATCCTAGACGTCTCAACATGACTTCCCATGACTCCAATGATTTAGAACTAAGTCTCAAACTCTTTCAAACCCACAGTTGACGATATCCTCGCATAAATTACAACCCAAAGAAAATAAAATGCAGAAAGTAAGGGAATTGCAAAGCGACAATATCCTCGCGTAAATTACAACCATAAAATGAAATATGAAAAATGAAGTAATATAACAGTACAACTGAGAAAGGAATGAATGGACCGACATAAAAATTATACGAGAATAACCGGCAAGGTTCAATGTGAAATTGAAAGCGCAACGTTAGAAGATTTTAGGAAAGGAATTTAAATTAAATGACGAATTTATAAAAAAAGAGTTTGAATTTAAAATGTTAATTTTTAATTTTGTCTAATTTTAAAGGATTAATAAAAATCTTATTTTTTCAAAAAAGATTTTTTCAATTGAGAAATGTTGAATTTTAAAGAAATGTTCTAATCAACTTTTAAAAAAAGGTTTCTAGTTAACTTTAAGAAAATGTTTTAAAAAAGGGTTTTAACTTTAACAAAGGGTTTTGATTTTTTTTTTAAAAACAAAGGCTTTCATCTTCAAAAAAGAGTTTTAGTTTAAGAAAGGTTTTTAATTTAAAAAAAAAAAAGAGTTTTAACTTAAGAAAGGTTTTAATTTAACCTAATTAAACTAAATTATAAAATAAAAA